ATTTTTCATTATATTTAGCAGCTGGCCAAAGACATAATACTACTTCCTTCAGCATAATCTGACGAAAATATGAATTTGAATTTCAGAGTTGACCATGGCAGGGGGAAGGTAAGAGAAAGGGCAAGGGTAGAAGGTGGCGGAAGAGGGAAGGAGGAGCCCAATGGGGGCAGAGACCTTCTCTGACTCGTTTATTGCCTTATCCCTAAGCATGCAGCATCATCTCTGACACACAGTAGGTGTAAACAGTCACTGTGTAGAATTAACATTTATTACAACCTGTCAGGCACCAAAATTTTCACATTTCTTATGGTAGCTAATCCTCTCAAGAGTCCTATGAAATCAGTATTATTATTATCCTTAATTTACAATATCTATATGTTGTGCTGACACAAAATAACCTACCAATGGCTTAGTATGAAAGGAAAATGAATAGTAAAAATTATGTTCATAATCATCTAGTTTTAACTCATTTCAAATAAAATGAAGAGAGATGACTGGAAGTTACTGAATGACTCATTTCAAATAAAATGAAAAGAGAGATGACCAGTAAGTTATCATATGAGTAAGGGCCATGAGTTTTGCAGATAGTCTGTTTAGTGACTGTCATAGGACCCACCGTGAAGCTTTCATAACTAAGCATGATACTAACTCTCCATGTGCGTTGCATTTGAGGATTTAGAAAGCAACATGGGGAAAGGTGAACCAGGTAGACTGGTATTTATAAAAATAAAAACACGAAACAGCAGCAATACCTACCACTATTAGCCATCACCAGCAAGGTGTCAAGTCACTGAATACAATTCAACTAAATCAGGAAAAATGGATAACCTTGTGTGTCTATTTTAACGTTTCGGCTGATCTTGAGAGGAATGAAAAAGGGATTTGCTTGTTTCAATGTAGCTCAAACTCATATGCAAATAAAACTCTGATACTGCACTACACATTTATAGTCAAAGACAATACTTTGTTTTTAAGAGGAGCAGTACACAATGTAACTGCAAATGAATGTCACACACACAAAAAGGAGCCAGACAATGTTAAGCTCCAATGAAGAATTTTGGTAATTCTTATTTTAGCTGTGTTGTAAAAATCACTGTCAAACATGTTTGTCTCCATTGTTTGTGAATTCCCCTTAAGACTGAAAATGCTCTCTTCCCTGCGGCTCCGCTCCCTCTGTCGTTTTATCCTTTTCCACTGCTTACTACCGCTCATGTGAAATTACTCCTGCGTGTATGTGTGTGTGTGTGTTTGTGTGTGTCTGTGTCTGTACAGGAATGGCAGAATTTGGATGTCTCTCCCTCAAAAATTTAAACAAAAAATGAACTCTAGGACAGGACAGGGATTGGTGGCGTTTTTTAATGGGTGGATCTTGAGGAGACCCGGGAATAGGAGCTATATAAATAAGAGACCAGTAGGGTGGCATTCATTTGTTTATTTAGTAAACAGAAAATTACTGAGTACCTAACTAAGATGAGGCACTGTGCTAAGTAGTGGACATCCGGAAAAGTGAAAGATGTGAGAGTTGATTGACAGGTATGATAGGAAATTACAGTTCATTGAAAGGTAAATTTTTGTTTTGAAACCTAAACCCCATAGCTAAATGGATCCAAGAATTTAACAAATATTTATTCAGTTCTGTTGATGATCTTCCCCTTGAAATATTCTTTTGCTAAACTTCATAGCACTATGTGTTCCTGAAATTATTTCCTTTATGTCTTAGATTCCTTTGCAAGATTTTCATCCTTAGCCTGTTGTTTAAATGTTGGTGTTTCCTAGGGTTCTGGCCTAGGATTTCATTTCTCCTCATTCTAAATACTTCCCCTGGGAGTTCACATTCACTATATGACTTTTAGTATCATTCCTATGATATGGATAACAGATATGATGGCATCAAATTCTGCATGTTCAGATCAAACACCTTCTGAGCTCCAGACTCATATGAACCAACCTTAACATTACCTCCTGGACATTTCAAAATATCAAAAACTGAACGGATCAACTTCCTCCTATATCACTGACGAGCACAACTATCTGTGAAGCTGCTGAATCGAGAAACCCAAGCATCATTCTTAACTCCTTCCCTTTTAGTTCCTAACAACCAGTCTCAAAGTTCCACGGACTTCATATTCTAAAACATAGTAAGAAGTCACCCACTCCTCTTCATGCTCTCTGATGCCACCCAATCCAGGTCACCATCATCTCTTGCTGAGAGTCTCACAAACATCTGCTTAATTGGTCTCCCTGGTTTCAATCTTGCCTGCTTCTAATTATTTTTCACGTTACAGCCAGGTATCTCTTTAAAATGCAGACTTACCATATTGTTCTCTTATTTCAAACCCTTTTCCAATTTCTCATATACTGAAGGTAAAGTCCAAACTCCTCCACAAGGTCTTTTAGACCTCCATTTACTTAAAAAGTTCTCGTTTTGCTGCCCCTCTCTCAGATGCTATATTCCAATATACTGAACTTTCAGTTCCTTAGACATGAAACTGCGCTCTTTTACCCTAGGCCTTCCCCTATCCTTTCCACTGCTGAAAACTTTTATCTTCACTGTAAACTTGCCTAGCTAACTCCTAGTTATCACTCCAACATTGGCTTTCTCTGGGAAGCCTACTTGGATTGCCACCCCACTCCAGTTTAACCTACCTCAACTGTACTTAATTCCCTTTCAGTTCTGTCAACCTACACTTACCTATGACAAACAAGGACAGATGTTCTTATGATATGTTCCCACAGTCACTTATACTTTTCCTTTAATATGATTTTTGAGCATTTTATTATAAAAACTGATTTTTATAGTCTTCACTAATTGTAACATAGAGGGCAAGAAGTATACACAGCTTACCTTTGTATCCCTAGCACCTAGTACAGTGGTGTGCACAGAATTGGTGATGGTAAGTGTTTGTTCAATGAGTAAATAGAGTACCTCATTTATAGGAAATTTTAAAGGGTTTAGAGCTAAATAAAATACCCCCTACCCCTAAGGGGAATAGCATAAAATGCAGAATGTCTGTTATATGTAATTATAAGATGATAATGAGTAAATAAAATTGACTCCAATTTGGATACATGAGGATGTGCTAACATTGTAAATTGGAATTAAATATTTAGCTCTCCCTTCTGGGATCATCTAATCCACACTAAACACTTCCGGAAGACAATTTTATGATTTTCTATTACAGATGAGAAAATAGGCACAGCAAAGTCAATTGAGTTATCCAAGGTGACCCAGTGAATCAGAAACAGAGCCAGGTACTATTGTGTCATTGTAGGATTTCAGCATGTATACTTGAATAGTATTCTCCAAACTATCATCTCTGATATTCATATGTGAATACAGAAATCAGGAATATCGGCACTTTTCCAAGGATTTTCCTCTAACCTTTAACATTAAAGGCTTTCTGTGATATGCTTCTGTACTCTTGTACATTCCGAGAGTTCCTTCTTTATTCATAATAGAGTGTTAATATCAGGCACCAGTTACCACTACAAAGTGTCAACATTTAACTCTTCTGCTCTGGGACATCAAATTACACATTCTCCAACTATAAATGTCCATAGCTAGTTGGCTGGTGCATTCTATTGCACTGGATGGACATTTCAGTAGAAAATGCTGCCAGTATTTAATAAACGTTTGAGAAGCAACATAGGCTATTAAATTTAATGAGATTACTAGTTCCAACATCTGTACTGTGAAAGAAAAAATTACTTGTGCTGCCATTTCAAAAGGCCAGATATACACTTAATAAGTATGTTTATATATGTTACTCTGGGTAAACACAACACATAACCACAATGCCTAAAAAGACTTTCTCAATATACACATTTAGTGTACAAAGAGCTACGCTTTTTGTAACAACAAGCATTGCTGATATAAGTTTCACAGAGATAGGCAGGTCAAGTATACACTTGAGATTCTTCCTAGCCCCAGACTGGACCAACCAATGCTCTTTTTTTTTTTTAACATACATATACCTGAATATAGTACAAGATGTTAAAATAATCTAATCTGTACAAAACCGCAGTTAACATGTACCATTTTTATTAGATGTATAAACTATGCTTCCTCTGCATTTTCAGATCAATTATATAATTTTCTCTTAATGGATATACCATCAAGTAGAAGAATCCCCAATCACAGAACATTTCCCTTGCTCTTTGGACTTTATGTGGCCTCTCTTTCATTTGCCAAAAGCAAAAATCTTTACCCTTAAAGCACTCAAACCAGCTCATTACATCACTCTCCAGTCTTGCCTTGTAGCTCCAGGCCAATGAAGAACTCTAAATGTCCAAAGTATTTACTGTTCTTAATCCCCAACGTGACATTAAGTGAATTGGTTCTGTCATGGGAATATAACTGATTATGTTCCCCCTAATAAAGACAGACACTTGAGTTAGCCATTTGTAAGTTAGCCCAATGTGAAGGGAAGAGAGAACTTCTGTCAGATGTCAACTTAACATCCATTGCTCACAGAAGTGTCAATTAAAATTCGAGTGGAATCTTTCTAACACAATTTTCCAGCCCAAGAAATGTGAATAAACCTCTACTGAATTGAAAGGCTGTATAAGGCAATCTTAAGCTCTATTTATGTGTTAATTGGTTGGTCATTGGTAGATGACACCCATGGGGTCAGAATACTTTTGACTTTCACTTGAAAATGTAGATTCCATGAATTCATCCTCATTCATCAGTCCTGTTTTGAGGGAAATGACTATGAAGGCATACTGTCTTCATTTCCTAATGCTGCAGTTCCTGTTATGCTATACCAAGGAATAAAATTTCCTATCAAAAGTAGCATAGATGCTGATTTGGCTTCCTGCTTTAGATCACTGCTCTCAGAAGCACTGATCTAAAGGAAGCAAATTCCAACTTTATAGTTCTGACATTGTCCTTGTCACCCCATTTGCTATACCAGCATGAATGTGACAATAATAAAAGATAAAAGAGCAGAAAACAAATGTTTTCATACCAAGGAGTCTTGCCCTATTTAAGAATTTACCTGCAGAGATCCCATTTCTTCATCTTTTCTTTGGGTCTCTTCCAGTAGATCTGTAATAAGAAAGTAAAATATCCATCAAAATACAATGTAAAAATGAGTTGCCTCTTATCATTAAATGCAGTTCAGCCAGTAGCTTGTATAAACTGTTGCCTGAGAAGAGAACTGGATGTTGAAGTGTGAGAAGCAATGTAAAAGAAACACCCTCTAATCCCAACTGATGACATGCAGAGCGCTGGAGCCTGCCAACTCCAAGCTAGCTGAGAAGCCCTGGGACGTCTCTCAGCTTTACCTGACATACCAAAGGATAATAGTAAATCAATTAAAAATCTGTAATCATACCAATATTTTAGGAATTTTGGTCTCATGCTTGTATAACTAAATGCTACATAAAATTTCCTTTAGAAAAAAAAAGCCTTTTTCTTTTGAAAGAAAAATTAGAAACAAACCATTTGCCCTTAAAATAAGCTCCCAAGCCAAGTTCCGCCCCTAGAGTCAATTTTTATAACCAAATTAAAACACCCTGGAATAATAAGTGTTATTAATGGAAGTGGAACACCACCTCATCCATAAAGTCTTATTAATTGTTGTTTCACATTGAGAGGGTGGGATGCATTGAAGATACATTTGACTAAGAGTTTGGCACCATCCCACAGAAATTAGTAGTTGCAAGGGAAGGTCGTCAACTGAAGAGAGCTCTGTCTTAATGCATGTATACAGCCACGGTGTCTCAGTGCCCTACGTTAATTTATGAACTTGTTATTAAGAAAACATATTTTCTGCCTGCAGCTATACCACCTTGTGCTATGATCTTATTATATCTCACAAACCTAAAGAGGACTAGGTTGAGTCAGAACTTGGATGAAAACTGGCAAGAAACACCTACAGCAGTGTATATTAATATGAGTATTTGCCTTACTGTCTCTTTGATATAGCTTACCAAGAGGCTGTTACATAAAAGGAAAACATAAATTAGAGAAGCCTAATATGTATCCCAGAAAGGCAAACTCAAATGTTTTAGCAAGTGCTATACTAGATATAGCAGGAAACAGTCATATAGTAGAGTGACAAAGTCATGCTGGTGTGTTGTAACTGTGTGTACACCAAAATTTCAGGAGACCTGGCAGATGACAGAACTGACGGTAATGACCCTTTGAGGCCGCACAGCTAAGAGGGTTACAGACGAGAGGTAAGCAATCTCCCGAAGACACAATATGCTGGGATTAAGGATAAGAGATTGTTTCTATTTTGTATGCTGTAGAGGAACTGACTTTGCTCCCAAAACCTCCTATAATCAGGTACATCAAAAAGTAAAAAGAGCAGGCCAGTGTTTTAGGGTGTATTTTTAAAGGGGTTTTGATTGGCATATCAGGTTCTTTAGCTATAAGATACAGAAACCAACTTGGGGTATGGAAGATTGTTTAAGTGCCCTCAATCATTCCTCTTCCTGCATCCTCACTCATTTGCATTGCAGTTTTGTAGCTACTTCCATCAAGAGGCCATGCACATCTGCTTCACTTCTTGCATCTGGGCTGGCCTCCTGACTTGATTTGGTGAGTACAATATAGCTGAGGTAACTCTGTTTCAGTCTGGACTGAGGCTTTAAGAGACCTCACACATTTCCACTTTTTCACTTGGAACCCTGTCACTGACATCTGAATAGGCCCAGGCCAATCTGCTAGATGACAACAGACACATGGTCTAGGACTCTTCCCACCTCTGTCACCCTGCAGATTGCCCCAGCTGCCAGCCAGCAAATGCCCAGAAGCAGAGTTGCCCAGTCGATCTCAGGATGACTACAGATGACTGAGATGGAAACCCAACTGAGCAGACAAACTACCCAGCTGAGCCCAGTGTCAACTCCAACTCACAGAACCAAGAACTAAATAAATGGAATTCTGGAGTGGTTTGGTACCTGGGACTTGCCAGCTGATAGCAGTGAGTTGCTAATTGAATAACATGTACTTAGAAGTTATTAGAAGGATATAGAGGTAACAAATAGATACACTGGAAAAGAGGATCCCAAATCTGAAGGGAGTAACAACTAGAGCAGGTCTGGCTGGGTCGAGATGTGGGCAGGATGAGCTGATGAGCTAATGAGTATTTTATTCTGGGTTCCTCTAAACTTTATGTCATTCTACTCAAGATGAAACTGCATAAAGAGAACAGCTACCAAGCCTAGCTTAGATCTCTTGCCTACTGCTTGGCTAGGGGAAAGTATGGAGTACTTTCATTGATAATCCCAAAAGGAGTGGACTAAGAATAGAAAGAATAGTTTCCAAATGCAAAATTAGGGTTCTGTAACAGAAGGAACAACGGACATCAGGCAGGCCAACAAAACAGAGTTCTACACCACCTGGTTTCAGTAAACTGTGTCCTTACCCCAACTCTCTTCAATATTTGTGAGATATAAGATCACTGCTGTGTTCCTATGAGGATGTGGCTACTTAGCTCCATTATTTCTGGATATTAGGAGGTTCTCAGAGCTGGGCCCTTTGTAATGAATTACATTGTTTAATGGTGCAGTGTAACTGGAGTAATACATAGTGGGGTTCATCAATCACAAAAGAAAACTAATCTTGTTCCTCCAGAGTCAACTTAGTATGGCAACTCCAAACACCTTAGATAAAACTTACTGGATCAATAATGAGTATCAGATCTTTTATGCAGCCAAACACAACTCACTCATCTGATAAAATATAGATACAAGTCCAGTCTACTCACAGAACTTCATAAAATTATAGGAACTTAAAAATTATGTTCTCAGTTTTCTCCAAATACATACGGGTCATACTACTCTTCTGACAAATCTGATGCCAATGACAATGCTTGATTTGGGATAGCTGAATAAAAACAACCAAAGAATTCCTAGAACTGGCATTTTAAATATATACATTTTAAATTTTAAATAAATATTCTCCCTGACTGGCCATCTTGTATAAACGGTATAAGCAGACATCTGTTTTGGGGTTTTTTTTTTTCTTTGTGCCACATATCTTTCCTTTGATAACTCCTGTTCTTCTTTTCCATGTGATTTCCATGAAACTTTTGGTCAAGAGGCCTAACTAACCTTTCCTGCCGTAGGTCATGGCCCAGGCTAGCAAGTCAGAGCATCTTATCCCCCTGAACATATGAGCTAAGCAACACCAGAGATGTCCTATTAGAGGATTAATATGGATGCCAGGAGAGAAATTTTTTCCTTCTGAAGCCACAGCTTATATTACCCTGGCGTTTCGAAGTCTGTATTTTCTACTATGTTGAAGAAATTTATTAAGCAATGAGGCCGGCAAAGAAGAAATGAGAGCCAAGAAACAGAATTGCTTGAGGACTACATCCACCCTTGACTGAAGCCCACAAACCTCCTGGACTTTCAATACATAATTCTTCCTCTATTCTTTTTCTTAAATTAGCTTTTGTTGGATTACTGCCATTTTTTAAAGTCTCCAGGGATGTGGTTGTATTGAACCTTCTTATCTCTATTCAGAAACCTAGAGAACTTAAGAGTTGAGAAGAACTTTCTAGTCCACCTTAAAATGTTTCATCCTACAACAAATATATGAAGACATGAGACTCAAAGAAATGCAGGTGGTTTGGCTGAGATCACCTAGTTAGTACAAAGCCACTTCTAGAGCTTTGCTCTCCTATCATCCTGCTCTGTTTAATCATGCTCGCATTTGTACCTCTCAATACTTAATTGCACCCTTCTTCATACTGACTTAAAAATAAAATACACACTTGTCTGTACTCTTCTGACCTGCTTTAAAAGTTCTCTGACGTCAAGTTAACAATCAGGGCATCCATGACTTTTTTTTTTTTTCTTTCTTCAGACAGTGTCTCCTCTGATGCCCAAGCTGGAGTGCAGTGGCGTAATCTCGGCTCACTGCAACCTCCACCTCCTGGGTTCAAGCGATTCTCCTGTCTCAGCCTCCTGAGTAGCTGGGATTACAGGCACCACAGCCAGCACGCTGTGCTACTTTTTATATTTTTAGTAGAGACGGGGTTTCACCATGTTGGATGGACTGGTCTTGAACTCCTGATCTCAAGTGATCCGCCCGCCTTGGCCTCCCAAAGTGCTGAGATTACAGGTGTGAGCCACTGCCTCTGGCCCATCCATATTTTACATCCATGTTCTCCTTAACTACTGCCTTTCTATGTTTGATATTTAACTGATATCCCCAAAATTGCTCACTCCACCTACACCATTGTTGTATGCCACTGCTCACTCGTTAGGTGCATTGTTCAAGTACATGCATTTGGAATGATGAACAGGGTTATTAACCTGTGCTGATGAAATATGGCTACTGGGCATTGCTGAGAAGCACCACTCTACTGCAAACAGACAAAACACGAGAGAATATAGGTGAGACCCCTAGATAGTTGAAGTGACTTAATACTGTGATAACTGAGTGTGATTAGTATCCCTCATTATAATGAACAATCTTGTTGTTTGTTCTTATCAGCATGGAAAGAGCTGAAGGGCTGCTCTGCTCCCTTGCTCACCACTGACATGTTCGTGTTTTCTTTTATTATTCTCTGGTTTGCTGTTCCATACAAATAGCAACTCAACTACTATGCAAGTTGCTGTGGTGAAATTTGCTTCCATCAACACTAGTTAATGAAAGACCTTTGGTAAAAAGGACAGCAGTCCTGTGTATTTTCCTTGGATTGGTTCCTTTTTCCTTTTTTTTTTTTTTTTTTTTTTTTTTTTTTTGAGACAGAGTCTTGCTCTGTTGCCCAGGCTGGAGTGCAGTGGCGCGATCTCGGCTCACTGCAAGCTCCACCTCCCAGGTTCACATCATTCTCCGGCTTCAGCCTCCCGAGTATCTGGGACTACAGGTGCCCGCCACCATGCCCGGCTAATTTTTTGTATTTTTTAGTAGGGAAAGGGTTTCACTGTGTTAGCCAAGATGGTCTCGATCTCCTGACCTTGTGATCTGCCCGCCTCGACCTCCCAAAGTGCTGGGATTACAGGCATGAGCCACCGCACCCGGCCCCAATTTTTTAAATGAGCTGATACTCACTCATTATGACATAAAGTCATTAGAGGGAGAAA